TTTTTTTTTTTTCAGAAGTGGGGATTGAATTTATGCCCTTGCGTTTGCCAAACAAGCACTTATTCTACTAAACTATCTCCCTGGCCCCCAAAACAGCTTTTTAATTTCACTGAAGTTTTATAAGTTCCAGGGCATACTGATCTGTATCTATCTGCAAATACATAAAAGAAGTAAGCTGGCATTTTCTTGGTCCTATACTTTGTGTATGCCTGCTAGCAGCTGAATATCTGTTACCCCAAAACTTGGATTTTGAGCCCTAATATCCAAGTGGGAGTTAAGAGGCGAGTGTGTTGGGAAATGAGTGCCCTTACACAAGTGCTTGCTTAACCCTCCCACCTTATTGGACACAGCAAGAGGGACCACCCACAGGAAAACTGGCCCTCACTAATGTGTAGGGCATTAATCTTAAGACTTCCAACTTCCAGAGCTGTCAGTAATAAACTTCCATCATTACAGCAGCTGGAAGAGACTGAGGCAACAACCAAAATGTGGAGCAATAGATATCTGCTGTTATTGTGACAGTGCCTTGCTATGTAGTTCAGACTGACCTCAAACTCCTGCCTCGGCCTACTGAGTGCCAGGATTTAGAGTGTGCACCATCATGCCCAGCTAGCAATTGAGATTTACTAATGATCTAGGCATGGTGGCTCATGCTGGTAATCCCACTACTCTGGAGGCTAAACTAGTAGGATTCTGAGTTAGAGGGCAGTCTATGCTATCACAGAAAGTTCCAGGCCAGCTTGGAGCTTAGCAGGTCTCTGTCTTAAAGCAAATGAGGCTGGGAAGATGGCTCAGTGGACTAAGTGCTTCCCTGGCAAGAGCAAGGGCCTACCAAAACATTTTTTTTTTTCTAATATTTTTTAAAAATTTATTTTATTTATTTATTTGTGTGTGTGTGTGTGTGTGTGTGTGGCCAGCTCAGCCCACCTGGGGGCTGGGCTGGCTGGCATGTGGTGCTGGGGGATTGAATTGTGGTCCCTGTGCTTTTGCTAAGCTTGTTCTAAGTAGGTGCTTTAGACCACTGAGCCGTCTCACCAGCCCCAAAAAATTGTTAAGAGTACCTTATTGCCTTATTTTTTAGCCCAGCCTATTTTTTTGTTTCTGTTTTGCTCCCAGTACTTGGGATTGAAGGGCCTTTGCACTGTGCTACATACCCAGTCCTTAAAAAAAATTTTTTTTTTGTTTAAATTTTATTTTATTTTTTGCGGAACCAGGGATTAAACTCAGACCCTTGTGCTTGCCAGGGAAGCACTTATTCCACTGAGCCATCTCCCCAGCCCTTTGTTTAAATTTTGAAACAAGGTCTTGTTAAATTGCTAAATTGGGGGCCGGGGAGATGGCTCAGTGGAATAAGCGCTTCCCTGGCAAGTGCAAGGGCCTGAGTTCAATCCCCGGTTCCGAAAAAAAAAAAAAAAAGTTGCTAAATTGCCTAGGTTGGCCTTGAACTTTGCATCCTCTTGCTTCAGCCTCCCACACTGCTGGGATTACTGGCACATATCCACATACCCAGCTGCTGAATGCTTGCATTTATCAGTAAAGATGACAACACACAAGTAAAAAAATGAAAAGAGTCAAACACGTAAGCTTCAGTAATAACAACAGGTGATGGAAAGAGTTCAAGCCTTCATTAAAACGTCAGAATGAGCTGAGTAGAGTGTTACATATATGTTAGACCAGCTAAGTAGGAGGATTGCAAATTCAAATCCAGCAGGGTAACTGAGGAAGACCCTGTCTCAAAATAAAAATAAAGAGATGAAGTAGCTTGGTGGTAGAGCTCCCTTGGGTTTGGGTTCCCAGAGTAGGACGATAAGGGTCAGAGTAAAGTCCAAAGGATAAATAACTTCAATGCTTGTTTTTTTTTTTTTTTTTTTGCCTTTTTTGAGACAAGTTCTCACTATGCAGTTCAGGCTGGACTTGGGTTCACTTTGCAGTTATTTTGAACTTGCAGTGATCTTTCTGCCTCAGCCTTCCCTGTGCAGAGATTATAGGTGTGCGCCACTACACTTGGCTTCTTTCTTTCTTGAGACCAGGACTGAATTGGTTATATACAAATTATGTGCCCAGGCTCAGCTCAAACTTGTGCCAGTCCTCCTGCCTCAGTTTCCTGAGTGGCCCATTCATTTTTCAAAATGGCACAAGTCATGGAGTCTAAACGCCAATCTTTTACCTCAGTGGAAAAGGACATAAATGCCCTCCTGTGCTGACTGCTGTTACTTCAGGTGAGGAGCTAGGACACCTCAGCGGGGCCTCTGAGGAGGGTATCTGCAGTGGAAAGCAGGACCAGGGCCCGGAGCTGGTTCTTGGCTCATGTGTACACGCTGCTCAGATGCCACCTTGCAGGGGATCCTGCTGGGCTGGGGAAGGGTCTGAGCACAGCCCTTCCTAGGCCACAGAGGAGGCTGGACTGCTAGCCAGCCCGGCCTGCAGGCCTGAAGTGAAGAAATGCTTCTTCCCCAAGCAATCAGGAAAGATCTTCACTCTTATGATGTTCCTCTTGGTTTTAGTGATTGTTATTTATTACTATTATTATTTTTACTTGTAGTGCTAGGGATTGAACCCAGGGACTTTGCACTGAGCTACTCCTCCAGCCTGTTTTTTTTTTTTTTTTTTTTTTTTTTGAGACAGTCTTACTAACTTGCTGAGTTGGTTAGGCTGGGTCTGTTTTTGGGACTCTGTTGCCTCAGCCTCCCAGAGTGCTGAGACTATGGGCAGGTGCCAATATTCTAAAAATCAGAATGGTAGAGGGGGAACTATTAGCACTCATTAGGAGGGTCAGGGAACAAACTTTCTTTCAAGGTACAGCCTGAAAAGCTGGTCATGGTGGTGTGAACCTGTAACTGCAGCACTGGGAAGGCTGAGGCAGGAGGATCACTGTAAGTTTGACGCCAGCCTGGGTTGCAAAGTAAGCTCAAGGCCAGCCTGAACTGCACAGTGAGACCCTGTCTTAAAAAAAAAAAAAAAAAAAAAAGCACAGCTTAGATCACAAAGAGCTCTCATCTATTCTTAAAAGTCTGGGGCTGGGGAGATGGCTCAGCAGGATA